CCCTAGTGTTCTCCCAACATTTATTTAGCAAATGTGAACCCCTTAATAAACCATATTTGGCAATTGTTATACCATCTCCCTCTTGATGCACGACACAACTCGAGCATCAATTTAACATAACATTTAACATAGTGTTTTTATAAAGTTTGCCATCAACACTAATCCAAACGTTGTCCTTCAGACAAATTTCTCTGCCTCTGAAACAAAAATATTACATTCTTCACTTAAAGCCACAATCTCATCTTCTTCTCGAAGTATTTGAAAGGCAACGGCCCTCAGTCTCACATCGAATCTTGCTTTTCAGGCCTGTTGTTTGGTCTCTCAAGTCAGTCATCTACAAACATTTCCAAAGTCATCAATTTTCCCTATCAGGTCAAGTCGTGCTGTACAGACTTGGTCAATGTCAGTCAATCATTTCTCCCCCTTTGTTCACAATAATCATAAATGTGAGAGGCTCTCTTGATAATTTCATGTTGACTTAGCCAATATGTCACTTTGTTGTTTCCCTCAAATCTACAACATTTTCATTTATCTCAGCCCATGCCAGATGGTGATCTACAACTACACAATTCCAATTTACTTAAACTGATCTTCAAATCTACATTATGTATGACAAAATTATTACTACCAGACAGAGCTTGATGGCCAATCAACTTAAAGCTTGTCCCATATTCTGTATTGTCTTTTCATCAGAATTATCAGCTTCTTTAAAAGTTGTCATTTGCCTTAACCCATCTGTAATGATAAACTCATTCCAGAGGTTAATGACGCAATATACACACCATTCAGGCGGAATATTAGTGCCCCAAACTAATACATACAAGACATAAAGTGCTGTCACCATCACACGCACTCATACTAGACACACATATGTTAACTGTTCATTTTCAATATTCATTTTTCTTTATATTATTGCTAAAAGATTTAAATTTTAAATAAGATTTTAACCTTTCCATTTTCCCTGTAGCTTCTACCTAATTTTACATGGTATTTTAACCACTTTCAAAGCACGTCTGTTCATTATTCATTTGATTTTTTTTAGACAAGTCAGCTGGGTTGTTTTGTTTCATTATCATTATTTTGCTTCAGCTTGCTCTAGCAGGCAGATAACAGAAAGACAGACACAGTTACCATCCCTTCCTCCAACTCAGGCAGTCTCTCTCATATACTTCTAACATCAAACTTTTATCTATTATCTTTTAACTCTATCCCAGCTTAAGGCATCTTTGCCAGAAATTACATACGGTTTCAAATAAACATATTATTTATATTTGTCTTTTGCCCACCTCAGGGAATTTAGACATTACAAATTTCCACTCAGATTGAGTCTCTGTCGCACTGGCAGTTTCAGGCACAGCACACATCAGATTTTAGATAAGCGAACTGTTTCAATACAGCCCATAACAAACTTATCTTTTGAAAGCAAAACATCAGCTTCTAGTTCTTTCATGGTCAACTTTTCAAGCTGTTTGTTTAATCAGATGCCTTTCAACACATTTTACATTTAGCAACTGTTAATTCAGTAGCCTACTGCATCTGCTTATTTGTTCTTACATAATGGTAATTATTCTAGTTCTCAATAACGTTTCACATTTCTCAATCTCAATTACCATAGCTTAATCTCTGACTTCAAAGTTTTCTCTTCTAGGAGTTTATCAGTCTCCAATCAGGATTCACACTAACTTTGACAAGGCTACTCTGCATCTTTTGCAGTTATTATAAATCATCTTTGAGATCTGTCTCTCTATATTACCTTTACATATTTTGCAACTCACATTTGTTGGAGTCACAAAAGGATTCACTTTAAGACTTCAATCTTTGACCTTGTTTTTTATCTCTTATTTCTCAGACCAAAAATTGTCACTGTCATCATTTAAACACTGATCTATTTTCAAACCAATATTATTACCAGAAATGTGTTGTCATTTTATCACATTTTTAAACACCTTCTCGGTGGTCATTTACAGTTACCTATTAAATTGTCCTGATGACCACCGTTAAAACACTCTCTGTCATCTAGTGAATTTGTTTCAGCCTCAACTTCAGCATCAGACAGACCCACTGATAAGCAGTTCTCTGTATTCCTTTGACCCTCCACCAATGGCGGATTCAATCACAATAGCCAAATCATACTCTTCATCATTATTATTGGCAGAACATAATTTCATGAGCAGCACAGAAAATGCTCAAAATATTCGAATTTGTTTTCTGTCTTTACCTTACTAATTTGGTATTATCATCAACAACACTAATTACAAGTACTGTTGCTGTTATCCCAGCTTATCTTTTACAAAACATCATCTGCAAATCTCTTCAAAGTGAGATCTTCAGAGCAGAGCTGTTTACAGCATTTGCTCTCTTCTGTCTCACTATTTATTTACTTATTTATTTTCCCGGACTGTTCCGTTACTCTTCATAAAGTGTAACAATTTGTACATCATTGTTTTTCATTACAACTGGTTTGAAGCCTTTTTTCCTTCCATCACATTATTGTCTCAGTCTTATCTCTACTGTTTCTCCAAAACAGATTATATTACTCAGTCCGTAAATTACACAGACAACCATTATAGCTACTTGCTTCAATACCCTTATTTTCTTAACATTAATAAAATAAGGCAGATATATCATCATTTCAATCATTATTTTATCAAAATCTAGAATTGTTCCCCATTCTGCTTAAAACATTCTTCATATCATGTTAATCCCTGTCAATCATACAATGCCTTATTTTATTCTAAAACTTTTCATATCATTTAAACATTTTACATTTGACTTCCATAAATTCTGTCAGACCATTTCTATTTTCATCACATATAGTTTTCTACTATATTCCTCCTTTCTTTTCCCTACATGCCAGTTCCTTCATTATCCTCTCCTTTCTTTTCTCAAACATGCCAGTTCCTTCATTATCTAACCAGTACATGATTGTTTGAACAATCCCCACACACACATGTCTCACACACCAACCTTTTTGTTTTTTCACTTCCCTCTTCCACCAAGTCTCACTTACAGTTCCCTCTATTTCACACAGACAGCCTTATTGCTTCTTGCTACTTCAATCCTTGTCATATAAATTTAAGTTCTATAGACATCTAATGTCATGCATCCATTTACTGGATAAAGAAGTAAAAAAAACATTATTTCTCCTGGCAGTTCGACATTTTATCTTCAACTGAACAATCCATTATCTGTTCACATTTTTTACACACATGTTGAACGCAGCCACAACAACCTTTTGTCCCGCTGCCCTGTTCCACTGATTCTCGCACACTCTTAGTCTATTTGTGCTAATGGTAGCTCATGATCATGGTATTTTCCCAGTTTTTTCAATATCTAAAACATACATTTTCCCCCATACTTTCCTAGTTCTACAGAAAACCGGTGTATCAAATTTCGCAAGCTTGCTTTTGAGACATCCCCATACTGGCTGTTTTCTGTTCTCTGTGGATTTCTCTTCAACGCGCGTTTTCTTTAATCTGTTAGGCGTCCCTAAACAAATCCGATTCTTTTCTTTTAACCCAAATCGGTCGGGTTGCACTATTAGTGCCCTCCTAATTATGGTTTACCAAAAAATTCTGGTTCCCCCTAATTAGCCTCAGTACCTAAAAACAATTTGCTCCGTCGTGGAACAACTAATTTTCAGGGTACCTATCTGTTTGAAATATCTTGATCTGTTACAGTTCTCACTTAATCCCAGATTATTTCTCTGCTTGAAATTTCTTGTTCTGTTACAGACCTCAATTAATCTCAGATTTTTCCCTCGTATCTGTTTGAAATTTCTTGATCTATATAGATCTCAATTAATCTCAGATTACGTACCACAGAAACAGCCTTCAGCCAATATGGTTCAATTTCACTCTTCTCCCCAATTAAACTGAATTTAATTAACTTACCCAAAAGAAAATAAATTGAACTGTCTCTTACCAGAGATGCTTCTGTTGCCACCTGCGGGTTCTTTAGATTCCAGTGGTCGATTCTCCCGGCCCTGATATCGGTCGGCCCCTCTCTCTCAAGTTTACGAGGTAGAGCTGGAACTTACTTAGTCCAGGTGGCCAAACACCGTCCGATCTCAGGTCCAGGAGGCACGTCCAAGGAATATCACTTCTGACACCAAAACTGTTGTGGCAAAAATTCATCTCAAACAAACATCACTGCGTAAGAGACACTCAGAGTCAAATTATATAAAATAGAAGTATTTATTCTTGCAAGAATAGGAGCAGTCTAATATACAGTTGTTACCCTGTGCAGAAGAGTGACACACCCCCAGACAGACTGAACTAGCTTTTATCTTAGTTTCAAGGCCTTCTTCCCCCCAGAGCCTTCCTCCCAGTAGTTTTCCATAGACGTCACTAGTTGGCCCAATAAGCCCCCCTGCACTAAGTGGCCTTCTGACATCTAGGTCAGAGGTCCTTGTTCGTCTGTTCTCTGGAGTGTCTCCCTCTTCTGCCTCCCCAGGTACATAAACAGAATCCTCTCTCACTACAAGTGAGAGACACACATGTGACATTCTTTGAATCATCTATATTTGTCTAAAGATCAATGAATATCATTAAAATTTCCACTACAGATGTAAATCATGTTTAATTTGGACTTCTCTGTGCATGCTCTTTGAGGTGGTGACCATAGACCTGCATTATATGACTGACAGACAAAAACGGTTTGACCTAAAAATATCAAAATTGAAACTCTTTGCGGAAACAAAGACACCTACATCTTGGATGCCCTTGAGGAAAGCGAAAACATACCAAAAATTAATTTCAAAGTGAACTATCCCTTTAACGGGAACTCAAGTAACCGAACCAAATAAACAGGAACTCAAGATTTGATCATCTGACCTCAATTACTTGTTATACTTTTTTTTTTATATGCCATTTATGGTAGGGATTGACCTTTGAGTATATGATTGGATGGACTGGACATAGTGGATGATTCTGCTTTATCTTGAGTATAAATATGACTCTTCTTCCTTAATAAACTTGAGAAAGTACTGCACTGTCTCTGTGTCTACTTGATCATTCTCCTGAGATCCCGCACTTTTGCTGCCACACATCACAGGGGTTGAGGAGCCGGTTTCCTGCTGATGACTGATAGCTACTTCGAGGCTGCAGATAGAAATATTCGGTAACACTTTACAATACGGTCTAATTTTTAAACATTAGTTAATGTATTAACTAATATGAACTAACCATGATCAATACATGCGTTACTGTTTTTGGTCATCTTTTGTTAACGTTAGCTAATAAAAATACAGCTGTTCATTGTTTGTACATGTTAGTTCACAGTGCATTAACTAATGTTAACGAATACATTTTTTGATTTTAGTAATGTATTAGAAAATGTTAAAATTAACATTGACTAAGATTAATAAATGCTGTAGAAGTGCAGTTCATTATTAGTTTGTGCTATTTAATTTTAAGAGCATTTAACTAATTTTTAAAACTAATAAAATTAATACAGTTAAATGGTATCTTAAAAAAAAAATTAAACTAATAAAAGTTCGATGTTTTATGTGTACCTGCCAACCTGTTACCTGGCTTAAATTTAAATATAAAACTTGTCTTAAGAATTTTAGAATAATTATTAATTATTATTATTAATATCACTCTATATGGCTCTGTATATATTATACCATGGTCTGGGTGAATACTCAATTCTGATTGGCTGCAGGGTGTCCATTAAAAAGTGATAGAGGAAACCTAGTAAAGGAGTTCTGGTGAAACTGACTGTTTACTGTTCGAAATTTATAAATAAATGTGCTGGCTACATCAGCTGTGAGTAACCATAGCAACAGGCAGTCAATAAACTGAAGGGTTCTACGAGCTGAGCGGACTATAAATATCTCCGGCGGTTGCTAAATAAACCATCAGGCGTAACCAGGGAATCCAAGTTATTGTTTGTAAAAACTTTAGATTTGGATTGTAAAACTAATTAAAATATAAACTAATGTTTTAAAAATGTGTTATTTGGCAAGTGACCATGGTATAAGCGGGATAATGCCCTTCAAGGTGTCCATTGTATAGGTAAATGGACTTCACGAGGGGCTAAACTTAAAAGGTAAACTATTAGCCTCCTCTGCGCGTCGGACGGTTCACGCCTCACCGTCGTCCATTAACACCTGACAATAGACACCTCGTCGGGCACTAACCCTTACATAATTAAACATATCTTTTTTATTTATTTTATTTATTAGAGCCATGGAATCAGAGCCAATCAAAGTTGCAGCCCTTGGAAGACCTCTGTTTCCTGGTATGCTGTATGACTGCCGCAAGGATTCCTTCATTCCAGGTAGGCTACTGTATACTTTTATTTTTTTTTAAAAAGTCCCTTTTTTTCTGCCCAATTGCTTAATAGGCTCTATGCACGAACGCTGCTGACGTATTTCCGGTAGAATCTCAGCCAGCATCTTTACTTCCGCATAGCGCGTTCTATAGCAAAGTGTACTAGAAAACTTTAATAAATTCATTTTCTCAGAAACGAGACAACGATTTTAGAAACTGAATCGCTAGTCGGATTTCACATGATATGAGAGAATACTCACCCTCAAAGTTGTCGATGTAGCTCGAAATATATAATTTAATCCCCTTCTCTTTCTTACTATTATGTGTGACAGCTAACTGCCTCACAATATTGTTAACATCATTCACGTTAATTGCGGGAAGTTCTTGTAAACAGCGAGTGTAATTTGCCATTATCTCCACTTAATGCAAAAAAAAAAACGGCTTCCGACGCAGCACCGGATGTAACTGGGCGGCCTGAGACAAAACGTGGAAGCGATCATGCATAGAGCCTATTGCAGTGCTTGAGTGGCAGGATTAGAGGTGCATGATGTGTGAGCAATAGCCATGTGGGCAGTGCTCCGAAATATAGCACTTCTGTAAACTTAGTTCAAGTAATTTGCCGATCCTGTTCCGGTTCCTCCATCTCTCTCTCTCTCTCTCTCTCTCTCTCTCTCTCTCTCTCTCTCTCCCTCTCTCCCTCCCTCCCTCCCTCCCTCCCTCCCTCCCTCTCTCCCTCCCTCTCTCCCTCCTTCCCTCTCTCCCTCTCTATTTTCAATTATAAAATATTTTGACTTTGAAATAAATCTAAAAACTGTATTGTCATAATGTAAACTGTTGACATCTGCAGCTTCGTCATAAACATTACTGAATGGCTCATGATATTAGTTTGTTATTATTTTCACTGATCCTCCTTAATCAAACATAGAAATACTAAATCACTAATAATTTATCTTAAAAGATCTTAATCTGTTTTGTGATAGTCTCTTTCTCATCAAAAATAAAAATAAAATAAAAAAAATAACCAAACAGGAAACATGAACTAGATCAGGAGAATGTTTGCTGGGATCAGTAAAGTTCACTCTCCATCCAGACACAGGCCGTGATGATAGTGTACCTCCAATCTCTGACTTTTTGAAAAGCCACACAACGTCACTTAAAGGGATAGTTCACCCAGAAATGAAAATTATCCCATGATTTAATCACTCTGAAGCCATCCTAGGTGTATATGACATTCTGGTAAATGGACTGCATTTATATAGCGCTTTCACAGACCCAATGGCCACCAAAGCGCTTTACATTTTGCCTCACATTCACTCATTCACTCACCGACGGCGGTGTCAGCCATGCAAGGCGCCATCCAGCCCGTCGGGAGCAGCTGGGGTTAGGTGTCTTGCTCATGGACACCTCGACACTTGGTCAGGTGGAACTGGGGATTGAACCACCAACCTTCTGGTTTGTAGACAACCTACATGAACCACTGAGCCACTGCCGCCCCAAGCTAGTTATTTTACTTTATAAAGTTTTCAATATTAATATTTTTCTTACAAAAAAACTCATCGCTTTGGTTCAGAATGTCTTTATTAACCCCCCAGAGCCATATGGAGTTTGTTTATGATGGATGGATTCACTGTTTTCCATGTGTGTCTTGGTCAGTCGCCATACTGCATGTAATCTGTGACAATGTTGTGACAATTTGTACTCTGATGGGACCCATTTTCATGATCTCGCCTAGGGCCCTACAAACTCACGTGCCAGCACTGTACCCAACACATCTATTAAATCAGTTTAAATCTGTATTATAGATACAAGACCTGCACATGTACACATGTAAAAAACTGTTAAAGCCACTTCTCATTTCAGGTGTTACTCTGTGGGATAAGGAATCATTGACTGAAGATTTGGACAGTCGTCAGCAGCTCATGACAGATTTGAAGTTCAGTAGCTTTGACTCTCTCTCTAGTAAGTCAGATCTCATGGATATAAGTGCCTCCCTGAAGCTCAGCTTCCTGGGGGGGGGGGGGCTGGTGGAGGTAGGAGGATCTGCCAAATACCTGCATGACACCAAATCCTCACACAATCAGTCCCGAGTTACAATGTATTATAGTGATACCTCCAGATTTGAACAGCTCACTATGACCCAGCTTAGCCAGATCACCTACCCTCAGGTGTTTGACCAGAAAACTGCAACTCATGTGGTCACAGCTGTTCTGTACGGAGCCCAGGCCTTCATGGTGTTTGATCAGATGTCTTCAGAAGATGAAAGCAAGCAGGACATTGAGGGAAAACTGAATGTCATGGTCAAGAAGATTCCAGGGTTTTCTATTGAGGGAGAAGGATCTGTAAAACTGACGGATGTTGAAAAGAAAACTGCTGAGAAAATCACCTGCACGTTTCATGGTGACTTTCATCTTGAGCAGAACCCCACCACATACATGGAGGCCCTGGATTTGTACAAGAAGCTCCCAACTCTGCTGAAGGGGAATCCACAGAATGCAGTTCCAATAAATGTCTGGCTTTATCCTCTTAATTTATTGGACACAAAAGCCGCTCAGTTAGTGAGAGAAATCAGCACAAGTCTGGTTTCCAAAACTGAACGTATAATGGAGGAGCTGGGAGACGTAGAGAGGACATGCAATGACCTGTCCAAAAGAACAGAGGTAAATGTTTTCAGTGACATTGAAGAGAGGCTGCACTCATTTCAGGACTCATTTAGCATTTACAAGACAGTGCTCCAGAAAGCAGTGGCAAAGGTCTTGCCTGCTGTTCGAGAAGGTGGGAAGGAGGAACAGTCACTGGCAGACATCCGGAAGATCCACTACAGCTCCCCTTTTAATGCTCACAAGCTTAACCAGTGGTTAAATGATGCAAAGTCTGAATGTAACATCTTGAGTTCTCACACCAAGAAGCTAGAGCAGATCAGGATTGAAGACTCTGATGGTCTGAACACCATCCTCCTTGATCCTGATATTGATGTTGTGGTGTGCTTGACCTTCACATCTTTGAAGTATGAAGACCCGTATCTTTCAACCCTGAATGAGTTCCTGAAATCTGATGAGTTTAAAGAGTTAGATGGAAACAAAAATGAGCTTGAGGCATCTGACAGAAAATGGTTCAATGATCCTGATGTAATACAAAAGATGATAGAGAACTTGTCTATCTTCAGAGGCTTTTCAGAAGCCAATAAAGATAAGAAGGGAATCAGCTTCATTATTTCAGCTGTCTCTGATCCCTCGCATCAAGGCTCCTCTTTCTATTTGTACGAAAAAGGGAATCTGACAGACACACAGTTCCAGCCCGTGTCCAAGCCGCCCCCACCGATATAGTGAATAATGTCCTGGAACATACTGTGTCCCTGATACTGCAGGAGTCTCCAAGTGGAGTAACAGTGCAGTACAGAGTAGAGTACAAGCAGGTAAAAGCTGAGGAGAGGGAACAGTGGCTTTTCATAAACACAGCTGATGAAGACTTTACTCTGACTGGATTGGAACCTGGAAAGCAGTACTTGATCCGCTACAGGATAGTGGGTAGAGTGGGAGTGAGTGAAGCCAGTGATACTGTCAGCAACGTACCATCTTCAGGTAAGTGTCATCTGCACATTTGTATCAATAATCATAAAAATTGTGAGTCAATTCAGTTATTGAATTATTTTGTTGCTCTCATTATTTTTGTGAATTTTACCATATTTACCACTCTAAAACAGGACTGATCACCGTATTCCAGTTGTAGCAATTTGTAGCAAAAAAAAAAAATCTCTCTCTCTCTCTCTCTTAATTCCTTTCTCAGCACAAGATGTGATTGTGGGTGGGAACGGAGGTAATGAATTCTCCTTTAAGCCCTTTTACAGAAACATTTCGGAGATCACCATAACTTACGACGGGGTGTGTAAAGATCGTTTTTTTCTAATTTATCTTCTTTGATTATTTGAATCAGATTGTTTTTATTTAGCTACTTGATTCACATTAAATACATTTGTGCTTTTTGGGGGGCTCTGAACACAATCCAGGTGATTTTAAACACTGGCCAAATGGTGAAAGTCGGTGATGTAGCAGGATCTAAACAACAAAAACTTGTCCTTGATGAAAATGATAAAATTGTTGCTGCAACACTGTGGCCAAATATTAATAATAACAGATGTGGGGGTCTGGAATTTGTGGTTGTCAAAATCAGTGGTGAAAGAAAGACATTATCTGTTAAGTGTGATCGCCTGGGTGAGGCTGTGAGTGTTGATGTGAAGTCTGGAAGGTGTTATGGCATTATGTGAAGAAGCGGATCTGAAATTGATGCTCTGGGTTTCTACTTCATTTAGCCTCCAGCTATACACATCTGTTGCTGACAGTATCCAAATATCTGAACATCTAAAATAATGGCATCTAAACAGCATCATATACTCATATACATCAAGCGTATTATTGGATTTGATTGAAGTATCAAATTTGAATCAGTCTGTAGGCAATCAGTGTCAATCAGACTATAATTTTTTTTATGTAAATGAAACCATAATAAACAAATAAATTACAAGTTTAAAGTATCAAATTTATGAGTCCGTCAATAAATAGTGATTGTATTTGAGGATATTCTGGGAGATTTTTTTATAATGCATGTCCATCTATATATTTTTTGTTCTGCATCTGTACTTTTTGGAAGTTCAAAATATCTTGATGTACTTGTTTAATTACAAGCTTACTTGATTTAGTCTGATAAGCCTTTCTTGCTGTGTGTTTTTTTTTTTAATTTAGTTATTTTTATATTATTGTGTAGGCTATTTCATGCTTTTTTTTTCTTTTTTCTTTTTTTTTGCTGCAAGTTGTTGCTCACAAATGTTAATTGTTAGGTTCAGAAATTAGTTTTTGCAGGGTGGGATGTCTGGAATGGTGTTCGTCAACAAGCTTTTTCCCATGAATGAAGCCCTGTTCCCACCGCCAGCGACATGATCCCATGATTCCCATCCGTTTTCAGTGGAGAGCTGGCGACTTTCGGCGATAGTGACCGTTAGCGAAAGGATATATTGGCGTCAAGCGACGCAAGAAAGTTTAACTTTATGCAAATGAGCAGCGAATTTCGCGAGCGACAGCCAATAGGAGTGAAGACGAGTGCAGGCAAGACAGTTCTGGACAGTTTCACTGTTTTATATGATTTAACTGTAACCACATACATGGATATAATAAAATGATGCATGGAAAAGAAACTGACAGTCTTAGTGAGTTTGATTCATACATTGAATGTTTGTGTTATGATGCAGTGAGCAGTTTAGCACTGCTGCAGTTCAAATTACAGTTTCCCCTGCATTATGTTTATGATTATTAGGGACAAGACCATTTATTATTTGTCGAATTCGGATGGCGTTTTAGTCATTTTTGACAATAGTTTAATTAATTGATTGATTGATCGTTAATCTGGTTAATTTAATGCACTGACTGAGCACTGAGCAGAATGCTACTTTTAAGAATGATCATTAATTATTTTAAGTCAAATTTTACTGGCAATACATATCATTTGTGATTGGGTCAAAGACGAAGGGGGGTTTGAAGGATAAAACTACATTTTAATACAGCTTTTTAAAATATACCCCCGTATTAGAATGTGGACGTCCTGTTTAATTTTCCTGCGCAAAAAATAATGATTATCGTACATTTTAAACATGATTTACAGAAGACAATATAGCCTACCAGTGTAACAGTGTAATATAGGCTACTAAAAAATCTTGTCAGGCATATTTAAAACAAGAATCAACCAAGCTCGACGCAATTATACTAAATGAATATCTCGAGGCCCAAAGAAAAGGAAATGAATAGTTGAATAAAGTCGTTATTTTTGTTTGTTTTTTTGCGCACAAAAAGTATTCTCGTCGCTTGATAAATTTAAGATTGAGCCACTGTAGTCACTCGGACTATTTTAACGATTTAATAACGTTTCTGGGCTGGCAAGTTTCAATCCCTTAGGGACTGTTCGTTATTTATTTAAGGGGCCACCGGAGGAGATTTGAGATCTGTAGTCAAAAAAGACTCCCTTCGCCAGCAATAATTTTTTATATGACCCTCCAAAATGATTGTGAAAAAAGGCATGACCCTCCCCAATAATTTATTGATTAGGCTGGTTTGCGCTTGGAAAAGATGTTCAGATAGCCATTCCATGATAAACGACTAAACTCCTGCTTTCTCATCTTGCTGTAATGATACACCAAACCTACAATTCGGTTCGTATCACAATTTTTGATTTGGAAAAAAAAATCATGTTTTCGGTGCTGATGCAGTGGTGACGCGTTCATGTAAAATGTAAGGGTGGCGCTGCCAATAAAGTATCTTAAAGCTGCCACAAAGAACCAGCAAAAGTAACGATTATGAATAATATAGCAAGGGGACATTTCAATTGTTTATTAATAAACAAGTCTTTGTCAGTGTCGGTTGCAAATATAAAGGTGATGATGCTGACTCGCGATCTTCGCAATAGTGAAAGCGCCAGAGAGAAATGCACATTCGGATTACATAAACAGAGAGCAGTCTGTCTGTTTTCTTTCATTTTGAATTGTTCTGTTAAAAAGTAGACATGTCAAGCTTTCTATATATTTATCAGATCTGTAAGGCAAGTAGCCACCTATTACGATGTTTCGGTTAATTTATTAGACAAGAGTCCAGTTCACGCGCCTCCGTGTCATGATGATTTTCTACTATTTACTTCTTATATATTAAATTCAGACAATTTGTTGATGAAACATTGATTTAAATTAAGATACAGTTTATACAAAACGAAATTCACTTTAAAGAAAGGCTTTCTACAAAACAACACTTAATGAAGTGGTCAAAATCATGTCTGGCCATGTCTCCCGATATATTGCGTAGGGCAGGCTATACTTTTCATAATTAACATAGATGGAAAAAAACATAATATGAAAATGCGCTTATTATGGCTACAACACATATACAGACTCTATTTGTACAAATTGCTGCACATTTATTAAATTCTGAATTTTGCACACAAGTTGAAAGGCATTTGTTTGTGCATATTAAAACATATCTGCATCAAGTTCACTGATAATTGTGCATGCATTTATTAATCATTATGATACTAAAATCATAATAAAGTAGTAGGCTTCCCTTTCAATAGTCCAAATTCGCGGTGGCGCTGCCATTTTCGTCTTTCTTCTGTGGATTTCTTCAGCTCCTGGTTGGTCAAATTCAGATAGATCGACACATCGGCTCATTCAACCGCACAGGGCACACACCTCACGAATTCAAGCCTACAGCTCCCGAACTTTTTAGACATGTTTAAAAATTATCGTGAGGTCGAGAGGTTCGGCTCGGCTCGTATCTTCCTAGCACACGACATGAGCCGCAACATGCGAGCACAACCGATTTCCACGCGATTTCTCCCGAGTGAAAAAAAATCATCTGCGAGCTCGTAAAACAGCAACAACAACAAAAATCGCACCGTGTAAGCCCGCCTTGGAGTATGAATATATAAACAGGCGTTTCAGTATTAACCCTCTACTGCACGCATTATTATGCCATCATGGAAAAAAAATGGTACAGTGTTTTTTATATATATAAAATAGACTCAAATTAACATTTCTTTTTTTTTTCTTTTTTTTTTCGGGGGTACTTTTGGGTGCGTTGCCATGGCAACATTGTGCGACAATGGAACAGCCTGATGCGTTTTCTTCCAAAATGACATGAAATTCATAGATGATTACAGACCTGTCTTTTAGAAATGAAATTGTTTTTATTATTTAAAATGTTTTCAAGAGCTTTGTGTACAAAATATGAAAATAATTTTCAAAGTATTATTTCAACAACATTTACAAAACATCTGACGCAAACTCATAAGAACTGTTCAAGTGAAACTACTCAATGTGAAACGATTATTTCAACAACATTTACAAAACATCTGACGCAAACTCATAAGAACTGTTCAAGTGAAACTACTCGATGTGAAACGCCTTAAAGCAGTTGTTCTCTTCGTTAAAGGTGGGGTATGTGATTTTCTTTTTTGACCATTTTTTTCGCACTGAAGCACTTTCGCAGTTAGAAGCACTGACATGAAAATTAAAAAATTGAATCATCTGTGGAACGGGCAGGACTCGAAAAACTCCAGCCAATCATTTCCAAGACCACCTAGAATCATTGGACAGTAAGTGCGTCAATCAAACGGTCGTACCATACCCCCCTCCCCCATGCCCCTCTTCGAATGGGTGGAGTCAGGGCCATCGTCGGAGGAAAGAAGGTAGGACATTTTGAGTTTTGTATTTGCAAAATCTGCCGGCCGTTTTGCAAATCACATACCCCACCTTTAAGGCAGAGGTGCACCTTGCACTTAGAGCAAACCCCTCTGACGATGCCCTTGCAGCCAGGATTCTTGCACCTTCCTTTTGGTGCACCCATCTCTGGCCAGTAATCAAAGCGGTCAAGACGGATATATATTTTACTTTTATACTTTAGCCTACTTTTACTTTACTTTATAAATATATACAAATATATATAAATATATGAGTAGAATACAACCATCCAACTATATCAGTGCATCCATACATTGTCATTCATACAAAGCTACTCTGCATTAGCATGGGCAAAATATTGTTCCATTACCGCACAATGTTGCCAAATGGCAACATACCTATTTTATTAAATAAAAAGGTAATATAAGTATCAAAACAATGTGACAATGATTGAAAAAACATTAGAACTTACCCCAGATGCTTGATGTATTTTTTTTTTTTTTTGAAGAAATATGAAAAAAATAAGGAAAATCTTCACATATACACGAGCACTTTTTCAGCAGCTGGAGTCATCAAAAGTGTGTGAAAAGAATGACGTTGCAAGGGTGTGTGTAGTGTCGTGATGTCATCAAAGCATATCATTGGTTACCACCAGGTTCTACCATGAATTTAAGATTAATCAGAGCTCATATTTATTTTCAAATTTCAAGAAATGTCCAAAGAAAGGGTATGTTGCCATATGGCAACACCGTGCAGTAGAGGGTTAAATGCATTTTCTGAGAATTTATATTTCATGTTTTGACAGCAAATGTGACATCCATAACGCTGGAATTGCCCAATTTTAAAGAATTTATCCTCAACTAGTTTTTTTGGTGTAGGTCTATTTTATTATGTTAACTTCAAATAATACTAATAGTAATTTCAAAATGTGGTAGCCCTATGTCCAACACATCACACTCCACTGTTATGGGGGCAATTTCAGTAGATTTACTCACTAACATTGTTGTGGAAACACAATAAGAATGGAAACTGAAATATGGTAGTATCGTGCTAGCGCACATTATATCAGCTGCAGTTCTGGCGCCTCAGTCCCAATACTGTAAAACTCGACGTACATTCACATCACATGTTAATGCAGCGGTAGAGTTACACTCACAGGACACTGCACTTATTCGCAATCACAA